CTCAACCTTTTCTGACTCTTGTCATTTCCTTCCCGTCCTCTTCGAAATACTATTCATCCGTCGGACACGACTTCATGATTGCTCCCCTCTCCCTCTCTCCTCTCCCTTCCTCTTTTGTCCTCCCCCTTCGCTCTTGTCTCTTTGTCGCGAATAGCCACGCCCGAAGGCGTGGCGAGAGGGACGCTGTTCCTCCTTCCCGCTTTCAGCCCTGTCATTTCGAATTCGAACGAGCGATGGTGCTTGCGTGAAAACGCGCGCGGCGCGAATTCGCCGGCGGGAAAAAATTTTCGGCGAGCGTTCCCGGTGCCGTGTTACCGCCGTGGGTTAGCGCTGCCGACCGGCGCTAGCGCAAAAAAAGCACCAGAAGACTGAATCTTGCACTAGGTATCAATCCCAACTATCTCCAATGTCCTTCCTTTCCATCTCCTGTATCTTGCATGGATAGAAATCCTTATAAAGAGAGAACAGAAAAAAATATGTGAAATGGGGAACAATGGAGGTAGAAATGTAAGACTGCACTTGAGTCCTGGTAACCTGATGAGAAAGATTAGAATGTGAAACAGTCGCTCCTTTGTCAATGAATACAACCTGGAGAAACTCGTCCGGTAGACACTGTTAAATGGTCAGTGAGAAAAAAAAAAAAAAAAAAAAAGAGGTCAGAAAGGACCTGAGCCTGACAGTAGTTGCCAGAAGAAGGAAACTGTTTGATTTCCATTCGATTGTTATGATAGTGTATCGAGAGAATCCCACGTAGTGTAGCGGAATAGGGTTGGAAGCCTATGTAGGGGTTGTCTCAGATGATCGTAGACTGCTACCTTCCTCACCCAAATACACCGTACGGCGTACGGTCATTATTGCTGTATTTAGACTGAAAGATAYCCCAAATACAGCTATAATGACCGTACGTTGTATTTGCGTGAAGAAGGTAGCACTGGGCGATAAATAAGAGTTCAAACTTCAAGGTCTATCAGAGGGTACATACTTAGCCTTACCGCCTTCCCCCTAACATAATGCAGCGTGAGAATGAATGTATACAAGCCTACCTTTTTCACCCGAATACAACATACGGTCATTACTGCTGTATTTAGACTGAAAGATATCCCAAATACAGCTATAGTGACCATACGTTGTAATCGGGTGAAGAAGGTAGCACTGAGAGATGAACAAGAGTTCGGTTATCCAAAATAAATGGGTTGTCAAGTTCTAGATGTACGGGGGAAAAAAAAAGAAAAAAGATCTACGAACCCTCTACCAAGTAGTACTGCAGAAAACCATTCCCTTGCTACGTAGTGGTAGGTGTGGAAGTCCTGAGCAGACGTTTGATTGTAACTGCCAGGTAGTTTTTTTGAAGGTAAGCCGGCGAGAGTCCGATTTTCTCGAGGAAGGCTGCAGTTGCTGCCCTTTTCTATGGATGTTTCTTGTTGTTCGTTTATATTGACCATTCCGATCCCGCTAATAACAAGAATAGCGAGCCCAACATCAGATTCTGCAGCAGATACAGTTAAACCGCCAGTTCACCTGGAGTGTTGAGTACTTCTCTGGCTAGTTTTTACGCGTTAAGAGCATTTTCATTTGGGCCTGGGCCTGTAGCGAAAGTGGTAGGCCACTTTGAAAAGGCGCAGTTCCAGGCTCGCCAGCCTTGGAAGGTAGCTTTGTCGACTTAGGCTCATGTGATGGTTTAAAGCACCAGTTATGAGTACACCACACATCGGCCCGTGGGTGTCAACACGAAACCCGCACCACTTCGGAGGCCGCCGATTTGTTTTTTCAACGGTGCCCCACGCCGCGTGGCCCCTTCGAGTTTTTGCTTGTGGCGACAAAAACTTTCTGCAAGGCTGGGGCCGTGTACTTGCGGTTTAATGTCTAGACCAGCCTGTGACTAATTGTCTCAGAGCATTATAGGAGATCTGCCTGACCCAGCATGTGATACTTATCAGTCTGGTTGATGTATCATGGATGTTCGGCGATTTGCTTAAACCACCAGTACACCCGGGCCTGGAGGCGCTCCATTGTGTGCCAAGCGCTTTTTTTTTTAATGAAAAAATCCAGGTTGTTGTAGAGGCTGGCTACTACTGTCTTCACCTGAATAGAACGGCCGGTCATTATAGCTGTATTTGGGCCAACTTCCAGTCTAAATACAGCGATAATGACCGGGCGTTCTACTGGGGTGAAGACGGTAGGCATATGACATGCCTGCCAGCACCTGACCATTGATCATTCCGATGTGCGCCACACTTTTCTAAACCGCCAGCGTCAGACTTTTTTCCTTTTTGGCTACTGCCACCAACCATTGTGGTCCGATAGGCCCAAGCCACAAAATCTTCGGAGTAGGCAACAAACAAATTTCTGCAAGGGTGGGGCCAGTACATGGGCCCAGGCAACTGGAGAACCTGTTTTGAGCCTCTCCCAGAATTTAGGAGGCTGAGTGCCGTAGATCAAATGAATCGGTGGCGGGCGGCTCCCGAAAGGGGGCCGCGACCGACAGCTGGCATGTACTGGTGCTTTAAGCACGTCGAGTTCTGTTAAACCACCAGTACATCTGAGCCTCTTTTTTTTGCATACGCGGATTCCTCTTTACCAAGCTTTGTAGAAACGCCAGCGTGGCGGTTTTCTTTTCTTTTTCCAGCGCCACCAGTGGAAGGCCCAAGCCTTGCATGATTTCTTCATCGCTCATTCCAAAAATTTTGGAGGCTCGGGGCTACCGGACCACAATGGTTGGCGGCGCAAGCCAAACAAGAAAAGAAGTGTGTCACTAGCGGTTTGGCGATGCTTGGCACACAGTGCGGCGCTGGCAGGCCTGGGTGTACTGGTGGTTTGGAGCCATCTGGAGTCTGGACTATCGAGTTCTTGTACTACGGTGTTGGTATCTGATACGGCAAGTGTGGGCGTAGCCACACTAGCACTATTTTGAATGTATCTGACCGCATTTAGGGCCGGACCTGTATGGATCTGGCCGCAATTCCGTCCAGTCCAAGCGGCTGAATGGTACACACATCGACTGCTATTGTATAGACCTGAGTTCGAATCGAAGTGCGATCAGATGATTAGAAAATGGCATTGAATTACCTTGGGCCGCCCAATTTGGTGACGATGCTTGAAGGCCGTAACCCCTTGAAAAAAAAGAAGTTGAAGGAAAACGAGAGTGGATTGCTCTGCAAAGGTAAGTGTTTGGCAGTGATTCCTCTGCAAAGGCTGGTATCTGATGCGGCAAGTGTGGGCGTACCCACGCTAGCACTACTTTGAATGTATCTGACTGCATTTAGGGCCGGACCTGTATGGATCTGGNCTAGCACTACTTTGAATGTATCTGACTGCATTTAGGGCCGGACCTGTATGGATCTGGTCGCAATTCCGTCCAGATATAAGTGAAAAAAAGTGCTAGTGTGAGTAAGCCCTCAGAATGTGTGCAATGTCATGACTGTTTGAGAGCCTGCTTTATGGTCATGGCTGTACTGGGTGTCCTGTGACTCGTGGTTGAGGGTTTCAGTTCCACGTTTGGCGTGATTGGTGCAATAGTTCTGCAACACTGGCACCGAGGGCGGCGAGGGGCAGAGTTTCACCGTTCGTGAGACACCAGTCCTCGTTCACCACCAGTCAATTTCTACATAGGATCGCAATCAGTGCACCCAAGGTGGGTGGGTATCTGGACCCGTTGGTCAGATCCATGTGCGAGCTAGGGTCAATTTCTATGTCGGATCTCAATCAGGGCACCCAAAGTGGGTCAGTTTCCACGTAGGATCTCAATTAGTGCATCCAAGGTGGGTGGGTATCTCGACTCGTTGGTCAGGTCCATGTGCAAACTAGGGTCAATGTCAATATATCTCAATCCGTGCTCCCAGGGTGGGTGGGTATCTCCACTCGTTGGTCAGATCCATGTGCAAGCTAGGGTCCATTTCAATGTAAGATCTCAATTCGTGCACCCAAGGTGGGTCAGTTTCTACGTAGGATCTCAATTAGTGCACCCAAGGTGGGTGGGTATCTGGACTCTCTGGTCAGATCCATGCGCAAGCTAGGGTCAGTTTCTATGTAGGATCTCAATCAGTGCGCCCAAGGTGGGTCAATTTCTATGTAGGATCTCAATTGGTGCACCCAAGGTGGGTGGGTATCTGGACCCGTTGGTCCTATCCATGTGTGGGCAAGGGTCAATTTCGATGTAGGATATCAATGAGGGCACCCAAAGTGGGTTGATTTCTACGTAGGATCTCAATTAGTGCACCCAAGGTGGGTGCGTATGTGGACTCTTTGCTCAGATCCATGTGCAAGCTACGGTCAATTTCCACGTAGGATCTCAATTGGTGCACCCAAGCTGGGTGGGGATCTGGACTCGTTGGTCAGATCAATGTGCAAGCTAGTGGGCTGGAGTAAACTGAAGGCGCTCAACCCACTTGTTCTGGTCAATAGCCAGTGCCAATAATGGCGGTAACAGAAAACCTCACTCCACTACTGTTTGGAAAATGAGAACGAATATCTCGCTAGAACATGGAAAGATACCGCCATAATTTTTTATCTCTTGTGCATGTGGTGAGTGGCTGAGCGAAGCCCAGAATCAAATTAATTTGAAAAGAATGGGTGAAAGACAAAAACTGTGGGGATGCAGGAATGTCCTGGTGGTCTCCACACATCATCCATGGGGACTCTAATACTCTATGCATCGTGGTCCTGCCACATCATCCATGGGGACTCTAATACTCTATGCATCTAGGGAGTACCGCCGAGTTCGTGGTGCATCTAGGGAGTACCGCCGAGTTCGTGGTCCTGCCTTTCTTCTCTTGGGTGGGTGG